CCCAGCTCCCCACCCCGCCGAAAAAAACCCAGAATAATAATTAAAAGATGCCTAGAAACGCTCTTGGAAGAGCATAAATTCTGAAGATGAAAGTAAATGATTAAAATAATTAAATACTTCAAGTTGACAAGCAGAAGCAGAATCTTGCCAACGGACATTTGTCGGTAATTAGTTAATTAATCCTAACACAAATTATAAGCCATAACAAACCAGTCAGGCTGAACGCAGCCGGCTGTTCGGAATTAAACTTGGAGAAAGAGGGACTGAGAGAAAGGAGAAAGAAAAGTTTGGAGATTCCTGTGGATCTGAGGGAAGCTGCTGTGCAGGAGCTGACTCCCTGTGGGAAGAGCAGCCAGGGACAGGGGCTGGTTTGCTGGGGCAGGAGTTGGGGCAGAGCAGGGCTCTGTTCCCACCTGGCAGGAGCACAGTGGGATGGGATGCTCGGAGCAGGATTTGGGAGTTCCACCCCTTTTTTCTGTGAGTAAACATGGCACAAAGGCTTCCCAGCTCTGCTTCCTGCTCTGCCACTGCTGCCAGTGTGCACTTGAGGCACATCCTCGCTGAAGGAACGATCTGGGATGGGCAGTCAGGGTCCCCTCGGGTCCCTGGGCAGGTGGAGGCATCAATCCCTCAGTTTCTGGAAGACAGAATGTGCCAGCATCTGGGAAGGGCTCTGTCCTGGGTGTTGGGACAGGAGCCACGAATCAGCTGCCCATTAACACCGTGGTGTGGAAAGTGTTTCTAGGACAGGCTGGAAAAGCAGGATCACTGCCTGGGAGCTGGTCCTGCCAGGGAAACTCGGTGCAAATGACTCCAGGAGACGTGTGTGGGCAGCAGGGACCTGGCGTGGGGCTGACGCAAGGCAAATCGCTGGGAAATGGGGAGGATGGAGCTGCTGCTTTACCTGACGTGATGGGAAGAGGTGAATGAGCTGCAGGCTGCTTTCCCACCTCTGCCCACCTCGGCTCAGGGCCAGTTTTCAGCCCTGGATCAGGTGAGGCTGGTGCTGCACAGGGGACTGATAGCTCATCTGCGGCGACACCTCCGCGTTCCCACGCGGAGCCAAGGCTGGGGAGGCAGCGAGGGACCAGGCTCTGCCTCTCCTCCAGCACCCAGAGCTCTGGGACAGCCAGGAGAAGGTGTTCACATGGACAGGACCTGCACATCCCCAGCATGGGGACACTGCTGGGTGACAGCCTGGGCCAAAGTGACACGCAGGGTGCAAACAGGCTTTTCTCAGGCAGGGAAAGAAGGAACGAAAGATTTTGAAAGGATAAAGAGATGCTAGGGAAGTGTGACTATCCCACAGACCCCACACTGTCTGAGGCATTGCCAGAGACCGATGTGCCATTTCTGGGCACGGATCATGTGAGGGGAAGGCCAAACATGTGAGCGCACATGAGCATCTCCTGACGCGATTCACACGCAGAGGAGAACGAGATGGTTCACCAGACAACAAGAACCAACACTGGAGAAATGCAAGGCCCATCTCCTCCGGCCCAAGCTGCAGAGCTGGTCCCTGTTTGCCATCGAAACTCTCCGAGCTCTGTGCAGAGAAAGTTTCCTCCGTGTGTGCGTGAGCGTGTGTGCGCGTGTTCCAAGTGTTTTGCATTATGTGAGCTCTGACCTTCAGAGGGGAACAGAAGGAATATTTTCCCCCCCGAGGCTAGAGTTGTCAGTGAAATGTCTGTCTTCCTTAATAATCTCAATCCGGGTGACAGGGGACAGGGCATTTTGCTCTGAACGAACGTACTGTAAAAACTGTCAGATGGGATTTGTCTCAAGAAGCAACATTTCCATCCATTCGGGGTCACAATTGCAGGCATCTTGTGACCTGTGGAGCAGCACATTTTTCTCAGCTGAGAGAAAAACGAGTCCTAAAATAGGTGGTTTGGTCTTCTGCAGAGCTTTGGGTCGAACCTAAATGGAGTCTAACAAGGAATGAGATCTCCGGCTCTGTGTGTGTTTCTTGGCTCTTGTTTTAAACCCAGAGCAAACTGCACTGAGGTGATGGAGCAGAAAGGAGGGATAGGAATTGCCCTTCCCTGGGCTGGAGCAATGGCCTGTTTCTCCTGTATCCTGTCTCCTTGGTGCCTGCCTCTCCAAATTCCTCCACGCTGACACTGACCTGCGTCTTGTTAAGGAATGGAATGAGTAACTCAATGGGTGATTAACCAAATGAGCGTGACGATAATTTGATTGTGCTTTCCACACTTTTAAAGCACAGGAAATAGTTTGCCCTTCCCTGGGCTGGAGCAATGGCCTGTTTCTCCTGTATCCTGTCTCCTTGGTGCCTGCCTCTCCAAATTCCTCCACGCTGACACTGACCTGCGTCTTGTTAAGGAATGGAATGAGTAACTCAATGGGTGATTAACCAAATGAGCGTGACGATAATTTGATTGTGCTTTCCACACTTTTAAAGCACAGGAAATAGTAAGAAAAGGAATAGTGGCCAGCTAATTGCAGCAGGACAGAGCTAGAGGAGCTGGGGGAGAGCTTTGAGGTGATGGTGCTGTGTCTGAATCTCCCACAGCACTGCAGAAATCTCTGGTTCTCCTTGGTTTGTGCCTTCTCACTGAGGAAAAAACTATCCAATGACTTGAAGCAGCTTTTCTTTTTATGGTTTAATTTTACAATTAGGAACACGAGGATCCTTTTCTTCTCTGGAAAGCAGGAGCTCCTGCAGGAGATGCTGTCCAGGCTTCTTCACTAACACCAGATGGAGAGAAACAACAGCAAAGGGCAAAGGGCAGTGCGAGCACTGCTCAAACCATCCCTGCAATGACAAATCCTCCCGTCCCACACCACTCCACAGCCCCACACTGGCCTCAGGAGCTGGGAACAGAGCAGCAGCCACATTTAGGGTGCTGTATCCCCTCCCAAAGGAGCTCTCCTGCTCTCAAGGGTGTGAGATGGAGAGGTGCCAGCAGCCAGGCATCCCTCTCAGCTCCTGTTCCTGGAACACCCCATGGAAACTGTGGAGGACACAGGTATAAATACACAAAACTGCAGTGTTTGCCTGGAAAATACAACAGCCAAAGGCACATGTAATTTTCAGCCATGCTGACAATTCCTTTTCAGTGATGGAAAACATTCCCTGATTTCTGCTAGGCAGAGCTGTCCTGCCGCCCTTACACCCATGGACTAGTGCAAGGAGCGCCTTCACCCCAGGAAGAGGTAGGTGTGCACTGGCTGCATTCCTGTTCCTCCCAAACAGGGAAATCCAATCTGTCAGGAAAATTCAATAGCAGCCTTCACATTAATTGCACCCCAGGGCCCAATAAAGATCAGCAGGGATGGAAGTTGTGGATGTTTCGTTAACCTTCTCTTACAAAGGTCTCAAGAAATAAGTGCTGAGAGAGAAGTGCTGGTGGTACATGTGGAGTAAGTACAGAGATCTGCAGGGGGAAAATGTGTGTAAAACTTCAAGTTGGACCCACACAGAAAACCCTTCAGTTCAAGAAAACCTCCTGGTGTGATTTGCACACACAGCACTCGACTGAACAAGTGTAGCTACAGGCAATTGGAAAACAGTCAAAGTGGTGAATTTGCAGCTTGCACACATTTATAGTGTTTCCTGGAGACAAACTGCTGCTGCTTTTTGGCATGTTTAGTGCTATTTACACCACACAAAAGTCACGCCCAGTTCTCCCAGTGGCGCAGAGACTTTCCAGGGATAGGTGCAGCCGAGTATTCGTGGGCCAGTTGGAGCTGCCTCCAGTGAGACAATGTCCAGGCAATTCCAGGGTCCAGCTCTGGGAAAAAATCCTGTATGGGCTTGGGCTTGTCCCTTTGGCTGCAGAGGATCCTGCTTGGGGTGGTGCTTGGGGCACAGGAGGGACTCTGGGCTCAGCTCCACATGGGGTTGGCACTGTTGGCAATTCCTGATACAGACACGGGCAGGGAATAAATCCTTCCATCGCTCCTAAAGGATTTCTGTCTCTTCACAGTTCAGTTTCCTCTGACTACACAGATCAGAGGCTGCAGAAGCAACAGCCCTTTACTTCCCAAAGAACAGCCACCACACACAGAGGGTTTGAAGTCTTTCTATTTCTTCTTGGCCCTCCACAGCATGGGGCAAAAGTGGGATGTGCTATTATCACCTCTCCATCGATACCCTGCCTTGGAATTGTCCTTGCTAACAGCAAACACTGTGTTTTAGCCAGGAATGGCTCCAAACTCCCTGCATTTGTGTCCCAAACTAAACCCTAGATAGATGGGACGGGCACCCCAGGTGTGCCTGATACCTTGATCACCCTCAATGTGTCCGAGCATCCCATTCCCACTGAGAGAGGTGTCTGAGCATCCCATTCCCACTGAGAGAGGTGTCTGAGCATCCCAAATCTACTGAGAGAGGCGTCTGAGCATCCCAACCTAGCCAAGAGGTGTCTGAGCATCCCATTCCCACTGGGAGGTGTCTGAGCACCCTAACCCCATCGAGAGGTGTCTGTGCCCTCCATCCCCACCGAGCAGGCTGTGTGCCTCCTGCGGGAGCTCCCCCCGGTCCAGCTCCAGCCCCTCGCCCCGGGGCAGGGGCGATGCCAGCGCCTCTCCCTGCAATGCCCCGGC